ATATACGTGTGTGTGTGTGTGTGTGTGTGTGTGTGTGTGTGTATGCTACTTCCCCTTGAACTTGATTACTATAGCTCTATAATAAGTTTTGCAATAGAGAAGTGTGAGTCCTCTGATTTTGTTCTTTTTTTAAGACTGTTTTGGATATTTGGGGTCTCTTACATTTTCATATGAATTTTAGGATCTGCTTGTCAGTTTCTGTTAAAAAAAGTCAGTTGGGATTTTGATAGAGATGGCACTGTATCTGCAGATCAATTTGTACTGTCATCTTCACAACATTAGGTCTTCTAATCAATGGACACAGGCTGTCTTTCCATTTGTTTGGGTCTTTCTAAATTTTTTTCAGTGATGTTTTGTAGTTCTCAGCATACAAGTCTTGCACTTCTTTTGTGAAATTTATTCCCAAGTATTTTGTTCTTTTTGATGCTATTACAAATGGGATTGTTTTATTAATTTCATTTTCAGATTGCTCATTGCTAAGCACATATAAATACGATTGATTTCTTGTGTATTGGTTTGGTATCCTGCAACCTTGCTGGACTTGTTTCTTAGTTCTAATTTTTAAATATTTCTAGTGAATTACGTAGGAATTTCTGCATAGAAGGTCATGTTTATATAGAGAATAGAGATAGTTTTACTTCCTCCTTTCTGATTAGAATGTCTTTTATTCCTTTTCTTTTATTTTTTTTAAAGATTTTATTTATTTATTTGACAGAGAGAGACACAGCAAGAGAGGGAACACAAGCAGGGGGAGTGGGAGAGGGAGAAGCAGGCTTCCCGCCGAGCAGGGAGCCTGATGCGGGGCTCGATCCCAGGACCCCGGGATCATGACGCCAGCTGAAGGTGGACGGTCAACCGACTGAGCCACCCAGGAGCCCCTTTATTCCTTTTCTTGCCTAACTTCCTTGGTTAAAACCTCCAGTGCTGTGCTGAACTGAAGTAGAGAGGATATCTTTGTTTCATTCCCAATCTCAGGGGGAAAACACCCAGTTTTTCACCCTAAATATGATGTTAGCTGCGGAATTTTGTAACTACCCTTTATCAAGTTGAAGTTCCTTTCTAGTCATAGTCTGTTGAGTGTTTTTTTATCATAAAAGCCTATTGGATTTTGTCAAATGTTCTTTCTGCATCCATAACATGGTTTAAATTAATGTGAAATAATGAAAATCATATTGTATTCTCTTTGTAAAGACTTTGTTCAGTGTATAGAAGGCTACGGTCTCCTTAATTCTTTCCCAGCCACCCCAAGTTACCCACTATTGTTAGATTGCTCCATTTCCTTTCAGGTATTTTCCTATCTTGTGTGTGTGTGTGTGTGTGTGTGTGTGTGTGTAGCTGTCCAAAATATACTTTTTTTTTAAATATTTATTTATTATTTATTTGAGAGAGAGAGCACGCATGCATGTGCACAAGTTTGAGGAGGGGCAGAGGGAGAGCGAATCCTGAAGCAAACTCCCCGCTGAGCACAGAGCCCCCCATGCAGGGCTCAATCCCAGGACTCTGAGATCATGACCTGAGCTGAAATCAAGAGTTGGCCGCTTAACTGACTGAGCCACCCAGGGGCCCCTATACAGTACACATTTTAATAAAAAGTGGTATAATATATATACGTGTGTGTGTGTGTGTGTGTGTGTGTGTATGCTACTTCCCCTTGAGAGACCATCTTGTTCCCAGCAGATATTCCAGTGTCCCATCTTTCTTTTAAGGATGAGATCAAGTCCCTCCTTTTTTGTGGAAGCTTCTGAGGTCATCCCACATATCAGACATCTTTCCTTCTAGCAACAACTTAGGATCTTACCCTCTACTTGGCACTCTTCAGTAATATATATATATATCTCACAGGAGATGTTTGTGATATTATATATTATATAATTATTATATATTACATATACATATCACAGGAGATGTTTGAAAAACCCGAACTCTCACACAGCATACACTTGCCCCTACACATCTTTTGTACCATAAGGAACATTTCTAGCTATTGTGTGATGATGGTATTATAACCAGTTAAATTTTGAGCCACTGTGACATGTTTTTATATGGCAGTGTTTGTTGGTGTGATGAGCTGAATTCAGCTGTTTTATAGACTACAGACAGTCCCCAACTTATAATGGTAACACTTTATATGATGGTTTGAAAGCCATATGCCTTAAGTAGAAACTGTACTTTAAATTTCGAATTTTGATCATTTCCTGGGTGAGTGATATGCCGTACGATACTCTCATAATCCTAGGCAGTGCAGCAAGCCACAGGTCCCATTCAGCCAGCTGATCACCAGGGTCAATAACCAATACACTGATGACCATTCTGTACCCATGCAATTATTTTATTTTTCACTTTCAGTGCAGTATTCAATAAGTTCCAGGAGCTATTCAACACTTTATTATAAAATAGACTATTTTATAGGGGATGATTTTGCCAAAATGTCAGCTAACATAAATGTTTTGAGCACATTTATAGGCTAAGCTAAGCTATGAGGTCCAGTGGGTTAGGTGTATTAAATGAATTTTCAACTTATAATACTTTCAGCTTACAATGGGTTTATCAGGATGTGGCCCCATGATAAGCAGAGAAAGATCTCTCTGTTTTTCATGCTCTGCCCGTAACACAGGCTCCTGTGTGTGAAAGTCTTACTGCATGGGAGAATCAGGGACAGAACAACCCCTTTTCCTGTTAACATACTGGTTATATTCCAGGCTTCTGAGTATGATTTGGTTTGAAGAAAGCGCTTTGCTGTTTTAAAGAAAGGAAATCTGAAAATCACTATTTATTGCATTTTGCTCTTACAGTTTCATTAAAAGGATCAGAAAATGGGAAAGTAAAACGGCTAATTCTAGTGTAACAAGTGTAAGTCTTACAAATGAAATACGCTGACGACAAAGGCAGAGCTCAGAAAGCACTGGAAGCCAGGAATCTTTGACCTCGGTTGGGCATCCCTGAACTTAAGCTACCCTGCTGATGTTCAGTTATGAAGGAAAAAGACCACAGGTATAAAATATGTATGAAATGCTGAAAACTTATGTCATCACTAGTTTTATCTAAATCGTGGGGTATAATAGAGAGTTTTATAACCAGGTTTTAACTCTTTGGGAACAAACTGCTCCTTATAATGTGCAAGTCTATTATTTATAAACTTCCACACCTGACTTCGACCCATGTGTTCAGGAATGTGCCATGTACAAAAGGAGTGGAATGACTGGACGATATTGCCTGAGACAATAGGAAGCTCCTTGTAATCAAGGACAGTCCCATTTAATGGTCATTTAACAAATATTTTGCTTGTTGATTTATTAATTATATCTCATTAGAGTAAATCTAACTTCTTCATGGAGAATTGCTTGCTGGTGTGTTCCCTTCAGTCTACTTCTCCTGTAGTAATTCTGAGGAGTGCATCAATGTGCATCTTTGGCCTCCATGTAAATCCACTGAGACTTTTCCTTGTGGCAATTTACTACCCCTGAAATCAAATCTAAACTCATTCTATTGACTTGGGTGGAGACATGCTTCTACCTAGAATGGGTGCTTCATGTTTACCTGGAAGCTTCTTAACATTGATACTCTGCCAACAAATTGAAGAGGATGTATGCTTTTTTAAAAAAGTTTTTTATTTATTTGACAGAGAGAGAGACAGCGAGAGAGAGAACACAAGCAGGGGGAGAGGGAGAGGGAGAAGCAGGCTTCCCGTGGAGCAGGGAGCCCGATGCGGGGCTCGAACCCAGGACCCTGGGATCATGACCTGAGCTGAAGGCAGACGCTTAATGACTGAGCCACCCAGGCGCCCCAGGATGTACACTTTTTAGCATGAGATACACATGCCACTCTCATATGTATTTGGTAAGAATTTTTCAGAGTACATCCTTCCTGAAGGGCCACATGACAATATGGATCAGGAACTTTAGAAAGGAACTCACCTTTTGACCTAGAAATTCCACTTCCAGAATTCGTCCTACATAAACAACCAGACAAATGTGCGAAGATGCCTGCACAAAGATATCTATTACAGCATTTATTATAATAATGATAAACTGGGAATAACCAATGGCTAGGAAAGACAGGTTTCAAAAGAAAAGGTTACTTCTAGCATATGATACGTGTTTATATGTTATTCTATCTTTTCAGATTTTTTATGCTTTATTTTTTTTCATTTTAATTCCAGTGTTAACGTATAGTGCTATATAAGCTTTAGGTGTACAATATAGCCATTTGATGGTTCCATATATGACTCAGTGCTCACCAAGATATGTGTACTCTCAATCCCCTTCAACTGTTTCACCCATCCCCCATCCTATCCATTAAGACTTTTAAGGTTTGGAAAATTTCACACCAAAATGCCAGCAATGATTATTTTGGGATAACCGTTTCGGTGGCTCAGAAAGTTTTATTTGCTCTACCTGAGTAATTTTCTTTCTTTCTTTTTTTTTTTTTCCTAAAATGAACATGGTATTGCTCTTTGTATGTATATAATATTATTTTTTGGGTAATACAGGCCAGTCAACCCAACATTAAAAGGCTGGAGGGTACTTTTAATGACAATTGCAACGTAAGTTTTGGTAAAAATTCTAAATCCCTCTCTGAGATGTATTTTGCAGAGAATCCTATTTCTGAGGTTTGGATGTTAGCTATTACTATAGCTCTGTTTCAAATTCATCTAGCAGTTTTCCCATGGGCCCTCCACATCACAAAAATTCCCCATTAGACCAAATGCCATAATTGCACATGACTCTTACCAGATAGGCTCTCCAGAAGGATTGAATGCACAGAGCTGCCTCTTCTTCTGTCAGCAGGAGGGAGAGTGGGATCGGCGGCCGGGGACTGAAAAGCAATAAAATGGTCATATGCCCATGAGAATCCATCCTTCAGCCTCGGCAGCCCTTTGACAACATAATGGCCTCTCTGATTAAGTGCCTCATCCATTTCCATTCTTAGAAAGCAGGAATGCCATTTTTGATAGAAAAGTTTAGGCTTGACTTAGCATGTTTTATTTTAAAATCCAAGATGGATTCGTTTTGTTTTGTTTTTAACCAGTGTGCTCTTAAATCACTGTTAGCCTGTTCTGCTTTGAAAGGCTCAGGCTATTAAAGCTGCATGTGAGTCCTAAAAGGTGGGACATCCATAAGGCTCTATAGACATAAAACAGGAGACAAAGCAGGGTGACTTTTAAATACTGCATTACGACTGAGACATTATAAAGGATTCTTTTTCTACCTTTCTACTGAAGGGAAATTAAGCAGCTCATCTCTTTCCTGAAGGCAAAAATATTGGAATTTATCTCTGATAAATTGTGTGTGCATTCCAGTTTAATGTGGCTTGAATTCAGGCATATTTTTCAGTTAAGTTCTGCTACTACATCTTAATAGGCAATAAAATATCTCAAGTGCTGGGTCATTTGACATTCCTTGCTCTTGTGGGATTTTTCAGATTGTGATGGGATATTTGATCATAGATATTACGTTTAAAAATCATGGTGAAATGCTCTTTTCTCCCCGCCCCCCCCCCGCCCCTGCCAAAAGTTGCATAGAGATACTAATTCCTGACAAGTTCTTATAAGTATGATTTGATTCTGGTTCCTTATGTTTCTCTAAAACACAGTTACCTCTGAAAACCCCAGTTAAGCCTTTTTAGATATAGTACAAAGAAATAAACCTCAGAAAGGATGTGGGTCACATGGAGGCTGCTCCCAGGACAGGATCCCCAGAAATGACTTTGCAAGTGAGGGGTTCGTAAGTTCCCTGGCCTCAGAGTTCTCCCTAACAACAGCCATCATTTGAGTTTATAGTAACTCCCATCATACAGAGAGGTTGACTAACCTACCCAAGGTCACACAGCTTGTAGATGGCCTAGTTGGGATCTGAGCCCAGACTCATAGGATCCTAAAGCCTAGGCTTCCCTCTCAGTGCTCGGCTGACACCAGACTTTCACTGGGCAAATACTCACAGACGCGGAGCCTGGCACAGACTGCAAAGCTAAGTGGCAACATTGCATGATTCTCCAGGATGTGTGGTTTTATTTCTCTCTAAACTCTGATGTAAAAACAACAACAACAACCCACCCTTGATATAGTATGTTTGTTTGAATGAATGAATGTGCTTTTGAATTATTCCAGAATCAAAGAAATCAAAGCCCAGAAGAATCTTGAGGTTACTGAGATCATTTCAAGGGAGTGCGGTGTTGTTGCCAGGTTCTGGGTCCTGGACTGGGCAGGTCCTTTCGAAGAGACCAAGTAAAGAAGATTCTTCTGTTTCTTTGGAGAGAAATAATTACACGCTCAAAATGACAGCATTGTTAGAGAACTATCCCTAATGTTCTGTTTCCATTTTTATTTGCATGATGTGGTGGCTTTTTAAAATTTTTTATTTGGTTCTCTTTATGTTTTCACTTCTTCTTGCCTAATATCTGGCTCTCTGGGCTGCAACAGAGCATTCATATTTTGCTGGAGGCCTGCTTTCTACATTAAATGTCTGTACTCATCTGTTGTCCCTAATCTTGGAATCTTAGTTGTGTGACACCAACAAATCACATCCCTGAAGTAATTCTCTTTCACTAGTTAAAAATCAATGGCTTCTAGAGAGACCTTGGTGTGCTGGCAATGGATTTACGAGACTAACATTATCATGCATTAATACTAGCTGATATTTACTAAGAGCTTTCTGGACTCCCTTCCTATAAGCATTGCTCCTTGTATTCCAGCCATGCTGTCCTTTTTCATCTCCTCAAAAGTGCCCTCCCACCTCAAGGTCTTTGCAGAGGGGCTTTCCTGTGCCTCTAATATCCTCCTACCCCTAGCCAGGGGCATTGTGTATAGCTGTGCAGGTTGCTGCTTTAAAGACACCCAGTGGGTGGGCCAGAGGGCACTGAAACCCAGCCTATGCTCTTCCCGCTAAGCCATGCTCAGGGTGTGAGCCCCGTCTGCCCTATGGTAGGGGTTCAAAACCTTAAGGTAGCAGGTGAGGGGGCTGACACTTCTTCCTCCTGGTTCACTCTCACTCTTTCTTCTGATTATGGAAAGGTGTTCTTTGATTAGGTTAGAACCCAGTGGAGCTCTGTGTAATTTTCCTTCCTAGTCCTTGGCCCAGTTTGGAGATGTAATTCTGTGTGGTTATCTAATGAATGCCCCAATCCTCAACTGGACTGAAAGCTCCACGAGGGCAGAGACCAGGCCTGTGTTTGCTCCTCTTGGTAGTCCCAACGCTTAGGAATTATTCCAGAATCAAAGACATCAAAGCCAGGGAGAACCTTAGGGGTAGGGATACCATTTCTAGTGGGTACTTGATAAATGTTTGTGGAATGAGCCTCTCTGCCTGGCACAGCATCCTAAGCACTTTCCATACATTATTTCATTAAATCCTCACAATATGAGTAATGAGCGATTGTTATCCTTCTTTTAGATTGAAAAAACTGAGGCACAGAGATGTGAGGTGATTCATTCATGTGAGGTGATATGGTCAGTGACCATATATCCTGCTGAGAATCTTTTGACCCAGGAAGCACAGGGAGTGGCCTAAGGAGAAGAGAAGGCAGCTTACAAGGTCACTGATGTGGAATTCAGGGTCTCGCAGCTGTGCGTGTTTAATAGAAGAAAACACAGTTATTTGCCTAGAAGAAAAAACTGGTGGGGGGGGGCAGATATAATCATAGAAAATGCCCTCTTCATTAACTCTTACAGTAATAACTTGGCAGGTATTCATTTGTCTGATGTTCCACAGGGAAATCTGATGTCAGGACAGCAGAACAAAGTGGAGTTTGTCACTTGTATCTGAGGGGAGATTTGATGGCGCCTTTCTGTTCAGCGGCAATTTTCCTGCCTTAAGTATATTTTTTTCTACTGATGTCATGAAATCCTCAAAGTAACAGTATTCCTGTTTCGGAATAGCAGTAGGAAAGGAGAACTGCAAATCTTGGGACAACAGGCTGGGCCAGCCTGACAAAGGGCTTTCACCAGTAATGAAACCCCGAATGGCTTTGCATCACAATGAATCTCCAAAAAGCAAAATGAGATTTCTAATAGGCCTTTAAGCAGTAATATGAGGCCACCTTTAGTGACATCCCTGCTTTCATGGCTAAATAATGGGGTGCTGTCTCGTTCCCAAACCAAGAATAAGTATGAGAGAGCCAGTGGAAATCAGGCCAAATGAAAAGGACTTAATCTTCTGAGAGTAGTCCCTGGGAATTATCAATCATTTCAGCAGGCCAGCTTGAAGGGATAGAAGCCACGTCAGGCCCTTTTCTCTCTTTTGGAATCAGTGCAACTGGCTTCAGGTCAAATAAAAATAGAGATGGAGTAGAGGCAACCACTCATCATTGGGGAACTTGGGAGGGGGACAAGGGGCCATGTCAATCAAAGGAGAAGGCAGCAGCGGAGGATCCCTCTTTAAGGGATTCCCCAGAGCGGACAGGTTTGCGTGTTTCAATGGGCAAAATAGAACCACTGAGTATGTTTCCAACACCTGTCTTACTGGTAATGCTCGTTAGTCATGTCCTTTTCCTTTTTTAAGACTTATTTATTTTTAGAGAGAGAGCATGAGTGGGAGTGGCAGAGGGAGAGGGAGAGAGAGAATCTCAGGTGGGCTCTGACGTGGGTCTTGATCTCATAACCCTGAGCTCATGACCGGAGCGGAAGTCAAGAGTCTGATGCTCAACCGACCGCACCACTCAGGTGCCCCCCTTTTCTTTTTTTCTTAAATGTGAATCAAATATATTTGAATCATAAGAACTGATGCTATAATTCTGAGGATTTATTTTTCTAATTTGTGTGTATGCATAAACACACACAATTGCTTCCTCCTTTTTGGGTGCTAAGTAAAAGATTTGCAGGACCTAAAGAAGATACACAGTATGCTTTCAAAATACACAAGGGAATCTGAGAAGTCTTTATTAACTTCTGCATCCAGTTCTAAAACAAGAGGGACCATCCCAAAGTGGCATTTAAACAGAATAAAGCAGAAAGGAGAAAAGCTTGCTTTATATTGAAAACTGAATCTTGGAATCCAAATTCTAACCGCTTTTCATTAGGTAAGAGATTAATTTGTTTTCTTGGAACATGAGAGCACAATCCTGATGCAAAGCCATTTACAAAATGACACAGGCCCTAAATCAACCATCATTTATACAACCTTTCAAGGGCCTAGTATTTGATAACATCTACCCATCGTAAACAGCAAAAGAGATTATCCAGTCCCTGTCCTCGGCCTTAACTGGTTTCCCAAACATTCTGTTAGAGGCATCAGTCTCGAGTAATAAACTTCAAATATTTGGAAGAAATACAACAGAGGTTATCTGGAATGGGGCATCCAGATATACGGTGACCAGCCATTAGGACAGAATCTCATAGGACTCTTTTCTGTGATGTGAGGAACAGCTCTGAAAACCAGTAGGGGAGAGCCAGCTACATTACTCTCCAGCAGCCTTAAAGTGTGTTTAGAAACCATGGTTACTAGGATGTGATCTGGCTTTCGCCCCCTCACTAACTCCACCCTGGGAGACAGACAAGCCGTTATTACCCCAGCATCGAGCTGAATCACCCTCCTAAGTTAAACACAGAATCCACTCCCATTTTACCAGGCCCATCATCAGAAGTGGCATATGGGTCCAGTCAACAGAGCTCACCTAATGATGCGAGAAGGCCAGGAGCCCACCCTGCAGGTATAACCATCCTGAAAATCAGGGTTGTGATCTCGATGAGCTTTGATAAACATGCCCAGAGTGCTGTGTCATTTAGTCTCTTTTTAATGGATTACATGTTTTCTCTAATGTGACTCAAGGAAAACTTGAAGGAGATCTGCCTCCTTCCCATTCTCCCTCTTCCTGCTCCAGAA